TTCCACATGAAAGTATCTCCCAACTGACTTATTAACACTCTTGAAATGTTCTCCTCCTCAGCCACACAGCACCCAGGGACTCAGCTAGATTTGCAGAAGCCAGATGTGATCAGGAAGAAACTAGAAGAGGTTCAGCAGCTGCGCCATGACATCGAGGATTTAAGGACCACCATGTCAGACAGATATGCCCAGGACATGGGAGAAAACTGTGCCACACAGTGAGGCGTGCTGGGGGTGAGATAGGCTATATTCTCTGGAAGGTGGGAGAGATCTGAGCTGTTGAGAGCCTGGCCAGGAGGTCCCTTCCCTGACAATCCTGTCTGTTGCTGCTGCTCCCAGAGAAGAGTCAGAAGGGAGGAGAAGAGAGCCTGCATCTGGGGGCCACAAGCTAGTGAGGGAAGTATTCCTGCCTTTCCCACTCTGGCTTTGCCTTATTGAATGGTGTTTGTCCTGTTGTACTAATTCACCCTTTTGAGGGTGAGTTACTAATTAACTTTCTGGCAGGTTCTACTGATAAGTCCTCACACGTTGTTCCAAGCCCTAGGCTGACATCAAAGGCAAACAAACAGCTCACCTTCTTTCTCTATCYTCTGGGATGAATCCACATTCATTCCCATTCCATACTTTGGTCCTGCTGGTACCCAGAACTCCTTAGAGGAGCCTGAAAAGGCCAAGCACAATAGTGACCATTTGGAGAATTCTCAGGCCCCATGGACCCCTTCCTGGGAACTGAGCTGGCTTTCTGAGTTTCTCAGGCCCAGTCCCACTGCTTCTTCCTCAGGGCTCTTACTCTCACAGAAGCCTCAGGGTGATCTGTTCATTAGCAGAGTTCCCACTAGGATCAGGACTCCAGGGATTACAGCCAGGGTTCCTTAATCTACCTGCTGTGCCATCTTTAAGGAGACTACTCCACAGCTGCCCTATGTCCATGYGGTCAGCATAGCTCCTCCAGTGTTCTCAGGCCTTCCAGCCATCCCTTTTCTTGGACTCTGAATACATTCTTCTCTGTGGTTCTAGGATCAGGCTGAAACCCCCCACCCCAGACCACAGGGCAACTTTCAAGCTGCTTCCTGCAGGGCTGATCTTATTTGCGCCTCTCTCTTCTTGGGGTGTATGGAGGGGGGTCTTTTCCCTTTCCTGCTCTGACTTCCATGAAGAGTTCAGGGTATYCAGTATGGGTCAGCTATAAGGTGTGACTTTCAGTGTTTCCTGGGTTGTTTGTTTCTKTGGGGCTTTAGGACCCTCTGCTTTCTGGTTTTTCTTGCCTCCTGGTTTAGGGAGCATCTCAAAGTTGTAGTGTCTGGTTGTTGGGTTAGCCCCAGGTCTTCTCTAGATCTGGAGCCAGGCCAAGCAGGGGCCATGTTTGGGTATGGGAAGCAAAGCAGTGCAGGAGTGGAGGGGCAGCCGTGRTAAAAAGCTTTGGGCTGTTGGCAGCATCCTGACCCTCACTCAGGCCTGAATGAGCTTCCTTCTTAAGTGTTTTTACAAGTTTGTGTTTTATTTATGGAGTGACTTATCCCTTCCATTCAGAGCAGCCCCACCCAGCTGGCTGTCCCCTAAGCCTCTGGGCTCCTGCCTCCTTAAGCAGAGCTGCCCGGTTGGTCTCCACCCTGTGTTGGGAGCCCAGCCACCATGCTCACGGGTATTTCTCCTCAAAAAGTTTATAAACAGTTATTTATATGAATCTTTGTTATGTCAACTGGTTTGTATTGCCTATTTTGATTACAAAATAAAATATTTAACAGACACATCAGTTTTTCATAGCTTTACATCGATACTGTTCCTCTGCCACACCCTTCATTTTGGGCTTGTTGGAGCCAAAGGCTGGGTGACTTAGCCAAGTTCCACAGACAGCAGCAAAGAGGGACTTCTTCACGTCCTTATCTCTACCACTTCTGCTTCTTTGCTCTTCTGTGGGGACAAATAAGATCTCTTCCTTCACCACTTTGTTGGCAGAGCTGCCCCAAGTCAGAGAGTAAGTTGCCATTGGAAAGAGCTTCAGCAAGTCTGGGGTGGGGGCGGGGGGAGTCTGGCCTCTGGGTTTCTGTGAGGAAGTGGCTTCCCCAGAGCAGAGCAGGCACTGTTGCCTCAGAGAGCTGGGTCTGTCTTCCTGGGCTGTTAAMTGAGCCCTGGACCTGAGGGGCATTATGTCCAACCAGACCCATAGCTAAGTCCAAAGTCGGGCTACTGTTGGGAGTCTGCTCCCTCTGAACTCCCTAGACTCTTGCGGAGTAGCAGCAGYTGTGGGGTGCCATCTGCAGCATGGAGTCATGGGTACGTTGAGACCACCCCAAGACCAGCTGTGGATCTTGAACAAGGGCTGTCTTGAGTCCTGGCACCAACCTTTGTGTACACACTTCCCACAGCCCGCAGCCTAGTATCTTGGTCTCAATCTGGCTCCTGGAGGGTGTGGTCCTCGCTTCCTGTGGCCACCCTTTCTTGTCTAAGCCTGCAAGAGTGGAGAGGAGCTGTAGGGGAAATCCCTGGCAGGGCTGCCCCTGCTTTGGTGTGCCTTCTATCCAGGAACTTTGTTTGAAAACTGCTCAAAGTCCCAAGCTGAGCACCTCCTGGAGACCAAGGGTGGCACTGGTGGGTAGGTGGATGTACCAGAACCAGGGTGAGCCGGGGAGGCCTTTCCTAAACCCTCGCCCCCTCTCTCCCAGGCCTTCAYTGCCATCTGTCCCTCCCCAGCTTCACATCGTGAGCCCCAGATCAAGCTACAGCTGAGGGGGGTGGGGGCGCAACTGCAGTGGTCACCCGTAGAAGGGCGGGGTCCTCCAGCGCGAAGGGTTGTGTCGCACAGGCCCCGCCCCACCCGCCTGCGCCACCCATTGGTCGCGAGAGCAGTGACTCGCGGGCGGAGCAGGAAGGAAACCGCTCCCGAAAGCGGCAGCGTAGTCTCCTGACSGTGCAGCTGCCGCTACCACCGGCTCGTCTGTCTGCATATCCGTCTGCCTGCAGCATGAGCGGCCTGCGCGTCTACAGCACGTCGGTCACTGGCTCCCGCGAAGTAAGTGCAAGACCGGCTGCTGCTGGGGAAGAGCACGGGCCGCTTCCCGGTGCTGTGGACCCTGACGCCTGGGACCCGCCCCCACGACGGGGGATGGGGCGGGGCTTCCTGGATCCAGGGTCTTCGAGCCCCATCCTGTGCCCCTTCACTGGGTATCTTGGGTCCTCAGTAGCACCAGCGTGGTTTACCTGTGCCCATCCCCCACCACTGGGACAAACACGGTCTGTACCTCTTACCTCCGCATCCTTATCTCGCTCTCTCGCTGTGTGCGTGGTGTGGGGGTACCCCAGCCAGACCTGCCCTGCATTCCCCTGGCTGAGCTCCTGACCCGCCCGGCCTGAACTTTATCCCACTTCCATTCTTTCTGACCYCCTTCCCATGGTGGTGGGCCCCTCTCATCCCCTGCCTCCTCAAGCCTGACTTGCCCTCATAACTCCTAGTGGCCAGAACACTCTCGTAGAGTGGGCAGGGGGCAGAGAGACAAAAGCCCCTGGTCACATCTGCCGGAGCACCCCCCATAGGCCTTCCAGCCCGCCCACTAATCCTGCCCACCCTTGACCCCCAGATCAAGTCCCAGCAGAGTGAGGTGACCCGCATTCTGGATGGGAAGCGCATCCAATACCAGCTAGTGGACATCTCCCAGGACAACGCCCTGCGGGATGAGATGCGAGCCTTGGCAGGCAACCCCAAGGCCACCCCACCCCAGATCGTCAACGGGGACCAGTATTGTGGGGTATGGTCCTGGGGATTGGGGGTGAGGGGAGTGTTGTTGGAGGACTCCAGCCAGGGTCAGACCTGCAAAACAGTACTGTACCTCCTGCAGCAGCACTGAGGTGACTACCCCTGCCCCTTCCCCTCAGGACTATGAGCTCTTCGTGGAGGCTGTGGAGCAGAACACACTACAGGAGTTCCTGAAGTTGGCTTGAACTGAGCCAGTTCCTGGTCCCTGCTGGACTCAGCACCACATTCTCCCCACAGACCTCGCCCCGCCTTGAAGGACCCYGTGACCAACTTCTGTCGACCCTAACCTGATCTTGAAGTCCCTTCCCCCAACCTAGGCCCCTTCTTCCTCTTTGTAGTCTCCTCCATTCAAAGGCAACATTCCTTTACCCACTAGTCTCAAAAATTGTCTTAAGCAACAGCCTAAAAGGCTGTTCTTCCCAGCCAGGCCTTGGGGCTGCCACCCTGTCTGGCACTGGCTGATGGGTACTTCTTTTGGTTCCATTAGTCAGAGCTCTGCCAAAGGCCCCGCATTCCCTYTCCTGGGAGTACCTTAGAGACAATTAAATGCCCATTCCACTGGCAGTGTCTGTCTGGTTGTGACCTGGGTATCCCAGGTCCCCACTCTGGGTTAGGCTAGTAATTGTGATAAAGCTGTGCTCATGTGTGGCGCTTCAGCATGTGTGTAAGTGCATGTCAGGCACACACGTGCCCGTATGGACCGTGGTTTCTGGAGACAGTGGGGTCCACTCTCCAGGTCACAGTTGTGTGTTGGTGTCCATTTGCATGCCTGCCCCGGGGCTGCCCACCCTTGGATTGGATTGGTTAGTGTGGGTGTGTCATGGGAAAGGGTACACAGCCACAGTTCTGTCATTTTGAAGCCATGAGTATAGTTTGGCAGTGACTTTGTGCATAGTATTGAGGAAGTGTCCCCATGAGCTTATGGGTCTGTGTGTTTCCGCGCACAGGTGTCTGCTGACTGAACGCTTGCCAGGTGAGGCTCTGCCACCCCAGCTGAGGCTGAGAATGGAAACCCAGCTGGGGTTGGCAACTCCCTCCTCAGGATCCTTCCCTTCACAGGATCCACTTAGCCTCCCTTCTTAGGAGAAAGAAGAACCTAGACGACGAAGACCCAGCAGCCAGTCCTGCCAGCTGAGGCTCAGGTTACCGAGGGGAGGGTCAGCACCACCCCTCCCTGGCCTCTGCCTTCCCCTCCAGACTGCCCTGCCAAGACATCCTGGTAGAGCTGATGGTGTCAGGGCCAGGCACTTTATTCATGGCTAGAGCTGGAGTTGGGGCCAGGGTCAGACAATGGGGCCCTGCATGGCCGCAGTAGCAGTGTTGCGTTGGGCACCAGGCCTGCAGCCTGCAGCGTGAGTGTGTCGTCCTGGTAGACCAYGAGTGGGAAGGTACTGAAGATCTCAAAGGTGGCTGCATCCATGCCCCTGGGGGCCCAGTGGAATGGATCAGGCCAAGCCATTGGGCTGGAGCCTCCCTGCAGCCCCTACCCCTGCCCTGTGCCCACCTGGCCTGTGTTAGCAGGGCACGCACATCACCCATAGTGTCATTGGGCCACATCATCAGGAGGAAGACTTGCTCCCCATTCTCAGACTTGATGCGCAGCATGGAGAGGGGGGGTGCTGGTGTGTTGGGTGACTTCTGACTCCTGCAGGCCCAGGGGCCTTCAGTGTTCCTGGTGGCCAAATCCCACTGGACCCTCACCTTTCCACCCTTCCCTCACCTTTCCCGCTCAGCCACCAAGGCAGGCGTCTCCACTATGGTCTCCTGGATCCGGGCAGGTAGTGGGCAGTAGTTCTGGAAGGCATCAATGGAGAGGGGACAGAGCCCTAGGCCTTGCCTGAGTCATCCAACCCTTGGAAGGGACTGACTCATCYTTGAGCAGGGATGAAGGTGTTCGTGTAAACTGAGGCCCAAGAGAGGAGAGGGAAAGGAAAGAAGGCTCTGGGAGGCAGCCCATCATTTCCCTCAAGAAGCCTCCCCATCAGTCAAATGGGAGGCAAAAGCCCACAAAGACGATGACCAGGCTAGATTTCTAACCCACCTTGGGGTCAGGGAAAGGCTTCCTGAGGGAAATGACACCTGAGCTGAGACTGCAGAATGAGGACAGGGATGTTCCCAACAGCAGGGACACCGATCACCTAAGATCAGGGAAAGCCTCCTAGAGGAGGTGATATATTTGGGACATTGCCAGCAGTTCACAGCTGAAGCCGGGAATCAGGTTGGACTGGAAGAAAGAGGAGGTTAGAGAAGTGGGGAGGGGCCCAGTGGTTCAGGACAGGCCTTGAGTGCCAGGATAAAGGACTTGGCTCTGAGAATCCTTGGAAGACTGCAGTAGGGAAGGCTATGAGGGAAGGATGTCTGGCAGGGGCAAGGAATGGAGGCGGCGGACTGGCCAGAGGAGATTGCATTGTGTGGGAGACACACCAGAACCTAGGGTGGTGGGCAGTGGGGATGGAGAGAGTTCTAGGGATGGCCAGACCAGACAGGACTTARCAATGCTCTGAGAAGTTGAGAGAGAGCAGCAGGATGGGATGAAGAGAAGAGAGAACCAGTTCTGTGAGGGCCAGGGACAACCAGGAAGGGATACCAGGACTGCATCTTGGCTCACCCCCAGCCTGGACTCTGACTTTATTTAGCCCCTTAGAGCCAGTCTGGCTGCTCTCTGGGACCCAGTGCAGAGCCTTTAGCAGCTCTGCAGTTTCCAGAGACCACTGCACAGTGMTGAGGGACCCACCATCCTGGCCGTCCCCCAAGGTCCAGAAGCCTGAGCCTCCAGGCAAGACACTGCTCTGGCAAGCTGGGCCAGGGTTGGTGGTAAAGAGCCCCCAAGAGGGTTGTGGAATTAGGGCTGGCCTCACCTGCAAGGTGTCCCTGATGGGGCCCCGGATGTCAATCACCTGGCCTTGTCGGATCACAACCTTGGGAAGCCTGTTCAGAAATTTCTCAGCAGTCATCCTGGAGCCTGCAGGGAGGAGGGCATTGGGAAACTTGGCCCAGGGAGGAACTGTGATTAATGGTGGGAGACTCCACCTGGAACTTCTCCTGCACAGCCCCCCAGCCACCTGGCTCAGCCTCAGGGCCCAGCTTACCTGGGTGCTCCTCCACTCTGTCCGAAGCCTTGCGCACCTTTGGTCGGCCTACCACACGGCCCTCACCCAGGAATGGGCCCAGCCCATCCTCAGGGTAGACCTGATTGCGCAGGTCACTTACCTGGCAGGAAGGAGGGGTGATAGCAGCCAGCCCAGCTCTTCAGCCCTGGGACCCTCCTCCCCTTCCCTGCTTGCCCCGAGGCCCCAAGAGCAGGCCCAAGGGATAGTCTAATGCAATCCCCATTTTACAGACAAGGAGGCTGCAGTCCTGGGAGAAAGCAGGAGAACCAGTCATGCCTCTGTCACCTCCTTGGGCCTTGCTTCTGCAAGCACTCCACAWTCATGCCTGCAGAAGCCACAGTACTGACCCTCCTCAGAGATCCCCCTTCTCAGGAGTGTCCAGAGAGGYAAAGTCCTTGCTGTTGCCTAGTCTGCAACACAGACCCTTGTCACCTAGTGTGCTTCCTCAAGGCACAGCTCTGAGGCCTTGTCTTGGCATAGACACCTTGAACACCCCCACTTGTGAATCACACCCCCTTACACGCCCTCACTGTGGAAATAACCTGCCACCCACTGGGGCCCTCATGGGCCCTTTGGTGGTGCCCTTCGTCTCACACTTTCCATGACAAGCTCATGTCCTCGAGGCCTAGCACCTGCCCCTTCTGCTCTGCATTTGTGGTTCACAGTTCTGCCTTCCACCTCAACCAGTTGGCTTCAGGAGCCTCTGGGGGAAGCCCCGCCACCTGTGCATAGTCATAGTCACCTAGACACCGGGTCCTGAATGCTGGGGAGTAAGGGCAGGCAGTGGTCTGGCCAAGGCTGAGCTTTTGGGGTGCCACCAGAGGGCACTGCCTGCTGTTCAGCCGCAGGACCTCCCTGCCACTGCCCCTGGCCAGGCAGCCTTATCCCTCCCTTCCCAGCCGGTTTCAGGATCACCCTCTCCGGGAGTTTATCAGACCCAGGTCCCCTGTGCTGGGGCAGTGGCTCCCCCTTCAGGATGGCTGATGCTGTGGAAGTTGTTTCTCCCCATTCTCTCCAAAATCCCCACACTGGGAAGGGTAAGTTGAGGAGCAGCCCTTCACCTTAAAGGGAACCCCATCAGGGTAGAGTCGCTGGAGCTCTGAAGGGAAGAAGCCATCTAGTATGTCCCGGAGACAGCGCTGCAGTGAGGAGAAGAATGGTGAGGCCGGCTGCCTGCCTGGATGGTGGCCCTGGGCTTCCCCAGTGCCTCAGACTCYAGAACTATTTGAAGCCCTAGGGCTTGGATGGGGGCCTAGGTTGGGGGGCAGGCTGGGCCTGAGTGAGCTGGCTCCACCATCTCCATGTAACAGTGGGCAGGAGGGGACCCCAGAGCCCCACCCCCAGCTCCTACCTGTGTGGAGGGATCGTAGAAGGGCCGGAAGGGCCCATCAAACATCATGATGCCATTCCTGTAGAGCTTCAGCGGGATGGGCTCAAGGGCATGGAGCCGTGCCCCACCAGGCACTGGCGTCACCTGGGTGTCACCCTCTACCACCAGCTCACTGAGATCCTGCAGGCTGGCSAGCAGCCTATCAAAGTCCACCTCAGGGGGCACTAGTGAATCCCCTGGCAAAGAGGATAGACCCATGAGTCTCATCATGGCTTCTGTGTGCCCTAGCAGCCCTGGTTTTTGTGGCCCTCTCCCAAGCTGGGCAGTAGCCTCAGGGTCTCCTTAAATGACCACCTAAGGAAAAGGAAGGAAAACTAATACTAAATAATAGTAACAGCTGTCTCGTCATTGAGCATTGGTTTTTTGCTGGTTGTTTTTGTTTTTGTTTTGTTTTTGCTGGGGGTTTAATACCCATCATCATGTCCCCTTCTCTTACTGACACTATGCTGTAAGGGCTTTTTGGATGAGCAAACTGAGGGTTACAGAGAGTTGAGTGACTTGCCTAGCAATGAACAGTARTGGCAGAAGCACGATTTGACCTCAGGCCTGTCAAGCACTGATTGGCAGCTAAAAAGCACAGAGCAGAGCTCCCAGCCTTGGAACCCAGCCTTTCAGGGTTCCAGTCCCAGCTCCTTCATTTCTACCTGTGTGACCTCAGACAAGTCAATTGAATGCTCTGTGCTGCAGCAGTCCCTTGTAGAATGGGATGACAATAGTGTCTGCCTCCCAGGGCAGCTGTAAAATGCCAAAAAGATGACTGTGTRAGGGCCACTCTGTCCACATTAGATTGTTACCAGCTCTACCTTGCACAAATGGTCCTGAGGCCAGCCCCGAGGCTCTGAGGCAGGAGCTATTACGCATGAGGAAAGTGGCCCAGAGACATGAAAAATGATTCAGCCCAGGCCACCTGGGGAGTTAGAGGAGGGCTTGGGACTTGAACCAGCCCAGTCTAGAGCCTGTTTCCCACCCCTGCACCATCAGGAGAGGGAGGACAGATGTTAGGGAGGGTGCTGGGACAGTGCTGGACAGAGGTAGGACAGGCCCCAGGGCATATGACTATTTTTGTGCAACAGACCCTTTTAAGCAACTGCCAAATCTTTGGTCTCTTCTGAAAACTGCACCCCACATATACCTGTGCCACAGCCAAGACACGCTAGAGCAGAAAGTGTCACCTGGGGACACACAGGCCAGGGCCTGTTGTGCAGTTTTTGAAGGGCCCTGGCCCTCAGGCAAGTTGCCCACTAGGGTGCAACTCTCCAACAGACAAGTGACTGTGGGCCTTCTTGGAAGCTGTTTTTCACCAGGACAGTCATGTTGTGGCAGGATGTGGGTCAGGCCTCTGGGGACCCAATGCTTTTCCCCACAGTGGTGCAGCGATCCTACCAGGGATGTACAGATGCAGGTGGCTATGTTTCCTGTTGCCTTTGCAGTTGTCAAAATGGTCCGCCCTGGCCAGCCCTCCCCTCTCCTTGACATTTGCTACTGCCTGAGGTACCTGCCCTCCCCGGCCCCCTTGGAGTACCACAGAGTCCCTGCCTGGAAAAACAGAATGTCCTAGGCATCCCTAGTATGATTCAGAATGACATTAAGACATCATTTTCCTTTAACAACTAACTACTTTAAGAACATATTGGTGGGCTGGGATTGTGGCTCAGCGGTAGAGTGCTCGCCTAGCATGGGSGGGACCCAGGTTCAATCCTCAGCACCACATTAAAAAATAATAATAAAAGTATTGTGTCCATCTACACCTGAAAAAAAAATTAATTCCCACATAAAAAAAAGAACATATTGGTAGCCAGGTGCAGTGGCACATGCCTATAATCCCAGATACTTAGGAGGTTGAGGAGCATTTCAAGTTCAACTTTAGCAATCTACTGAGACCCTATCTCAAAAAAAAAGAAAAGGAAAAAAGAAAAGAAATGGCAGGGGAGGCTAGAGTAAGTAACTCAGGGGAGCACCCCTGGATTCAATCCCTATACTGAAGAGAAAGGGTGGGGGGAGTGAGAGAGAAGTGTATGCCCAAATTGGTTAGCCTAAAAATCAGAGCAGGAAAGATCATCTCATATAAGGCCAGCCCCACCCATCCTCCTCCACCTGGGAAGGTGAGGCCTAGATAGGTTGGCTGGCTTGGCTGGGTCGGATCCCGCAGAACAAAGCAGAAGWGCACCCACACCTGCTAACACCTAAGCCAATACTCCTGCCCTACCCAAGCTGCCTCCTGAGTCCGGGGCTTCAGGCACCTGATAGACATGGGGTAGCTGGCAGGGGAAAGGGACAAACTTCCCCCTGGAAGCCCAAGGGAGGATGCCAAGAAGCAATGAAAGGGGAAAGAAGTTGGTCAAAAAACTGGCCCCAAGCCAGGTGATGGTGCATGCCTATCATCCCAGCAACTTGGGAGGCTGAGGCAAGATCTCAAGTTCAAGGCCAGTGTGGGGAAATGAGCAAGACCCTGTATCAAAATGAAAAGTAAAAGGGCTGGGGATGTAGCTCARTGGTAGAGCATTCTGGGCTCAATCGCTAGTACTGAAAGAAAMAAAAGAAAACTGGCCCCAGGGCTGGGGTTTAACTCAGGACCTAGAAAAAGAAAAGGAAATCTGGCTCAGCTGCTGCCAATCAGCTGGACTAGGGCTTGGAAAAATGAAACCAGATGGGGTGAGCTGGGCAGGTATTGGGTCCAGTAGACAGGAGAAGGGTCAAGGGGCCCAGGAAGGAGGAATCACAGCTCTGGACAATCCAGAGCTGGAGGAAGAAGACAGTTAGAGCCTGTTGGTGCCACACACTTCAGAGTTGGAAAGCCAGTAAGCCCCACACCACGAGCATTCTCCAAAGGCCTGACCCCACATCAGGACAGAGATGCAGTAGAAGCCCACACAGGGCGAAGGTGGCCAGGGACAAGTCCAGCTCTGTTCTAAATGGCAGCAGGACTTGGGTGAGGGGACATTTCCTCTGAGCCACAACACACCTGTAATCATAGCTACTCGGGAGGCYGAGTCTGGAGGATTGCCCAGCTTGTGAGCTTGAGGCCAGCCTGGGCAACTTAGCAAGACCCCATCTCAAAATAAAATATAGAAAGGGCAGTGGATGTAGCTCAGTGGTGAAATATCCAGATTCAATCCCCAGTACAGTTAAAAATTCAATCAATAAAAGAACCCTGGCTGCCTGCAAGGCTGGGCTTCTGAGCTTCTCCCTAAGTGAAGATTCCCTATTGAGCACTTGGAGAGGGGTATATTACCATCCCCATCTTACAGAYGAGGAAACTGGGCCTTGTGTAGTGTCATGTTACCCAGGCCATGCAGCCTGCAAAGCCTGGGTAACCACCTCAGCTCTCAGTGACCATGTAGGCTGCTGCTGAGCATTGGCTCTTGGGATCTCACTCCCTTGGGTCTCTTTCAAACGAGGGCTGCTGTGCTGGGAGATCATCTTCAAGGCCTCATCCACCTTTGAGAACTATGGCTATATTAAAAAGGGAGGCAGCAGCATGGGGCCAAGCCTGGCCTCACCCYGACTCCTGAGCCTGGCTCCCTTCAGTGGGCTTCTCCCTCCCACCCTGAGCTCTGTGACCTTGGGCAGGTGGGCCTCCCTGAGCCTCAGCTTCCTCTTCTGTAGAATGAGGACAATAGTTTCTGCTCCCAGGGCTGCTCAAGGCTCTGAGAAAGTGCGTGGTTGGTGGTGGCTGCTGTTGTCACGACACCTCCTACTCACTCTTTGGCTCTAGGCTCGGGCTGCACTCACCACCCACCTCCTCTGAGAAGCCTGGCCAGGGGCCTTTCCCCTCATGGGTGGGTTCCTGGAACACCTGGCCCACTCGGCCCTGGTCACAGTCTCTTGTCATTTTATATGTGCTTGTTTGCCTTTCGACCACACTGGCTGAACCTTTATCACAGGCTGGGGTGCTGAGCCCTGGCTGGCCCAAGGAGGTGCTCCAGAAGCATGTGCTGACCTGTCCATCGTCCTCAGATCTCCGACACCCTCCGTGCCCTGTCCCTACCTCCCCATGCCCTCTTGCAACAGGAAATGGAGCCATCATTACCACCTATCTGTAAGTCAGGCCGGCTCTGCTCCTCGGAGGAGCCAGGGCAGACAGAAGAGGCTCTGAGCCCGGTCGCTGCCGTAACACCAAGCCAGCCCATGACCAAGCCAGCCTGTGACCTTGGGCCCATGGGATTCCACTTATATCTCTCTGTCCCTGCCCACTGAACATAGTGCCACCCAGTCCCCACCTCATCCTGTGGATTGTCCCAACATGCTCTGATGGTCCAGGCTCAGACACAGTGGCCACCACAGCCTAGYTCCTGCAGGTGAAGGTGCCCTGACCTATATGCCAAGCACCATGCTGAGTGCTCTGGGGCATGACAACAGCTAAGCCACACAGGCTGCTGGTCATGGCCCCCCACCAGAAGCACCCCATGCACTCATTCAGTGCTTTCAGCAGCCCTCAGAGCCCCTCAGTGCTACCCTATCCCCCTCTTTCTGAGAAGAGGGAATGGTCTCGGAGACCAGCAGTCACCCGGCTCAGCAGCCCCACCCAGCCCCAGCCTAAGCCTGGAAGCCATTCATGCCATTGCAGACCCCATCCCCMGGGGCTGCCCAGCTGTAGCCCGGCCCAGCCATCAGCACAGACTCACTGGTGATCAGATTCGAGCTGAGCTTGAGGGGATGGAMGAGAAGAAGGCAAGACACCTCTGGGGGTGAAGAGTGCCAGCCAGGCCTGGAGGTGGCAGTGAGGGTGGGGAGGAGTCGGGCCTGCCGCTGCCTAGGCCAGGGCAGGGGGAAGGCACAAAGGGTGGCCCAGAACAAGTCACGCTGGCCACTACCCATGGAGTGAGTGTGGCTTCTTGAGCTGGGAGTTGGATAGAAGCACCGGCACAGGCTCAGRGTCTTGGGGCTTGGGAGGAAGGCTGGGGGAGTGGGGGCTGGCACAGGAGGCGGGAGAAACGGAGGAGGGGCAGGAGCCCGAGCAGGAGCCCAGGGACAAAAGGGGGATGTCATATCCAGCTCACAGCTGACTAGAGCCCTCAGCCCTGAGGCCCACACCTGGCCCGTGGTGAYTGACCAGAGCAGRACTGTCCCTTTCATGTCTTCACATGCCCCAGAGCACCTGGCACTGTAGCCTGATTCTCACATCCTGGTGAGAGGGTGTGGAGGGATAAAGGCTCCAAGCTGAGGTCCACCCCTGGCCAGCTTTGCCCCTGCTGGGCCCCACTTCATGGGCATGACTGACTCTCCTTCCTAAGGCAAGAGTTCCAGGCCCTACAACATTCTAATTATCCCCCACTGGCCTAATACAGATGGTCTGATTCACCAGTCCATTGGCCTCTGCCCCAGAGCCCATGGGGAGAGGTGTCCAACAGAAGGGGAGCCAGGAAGTCAGAGCCAAAGTGACATCCTAAGTCAGTCCTGCACTGYGGGGTTAAGCATCATGCCAGTATGTTGGGAATTCAAAAAGTAGGACAGGGCCACACAGTTGAGATGATACACCAGGAGGTGGGAGGACAAGAAGTCAGAGCTGCCCTCAAAGACGGTATGGTCAGTGGAGAGCCAGGAAGCCAGGGCTAAGAAAAACAAGATTAAACCCACAGCACGCCTATAATCCCAGCAAATTAGGAATCTGCAGCAGAAGGATCACAAGTTCGAGGCCAGCTTTAGCAATTAACAAGAACCTCAGCAACTTAGCAAGACCCTGTCTCAAAATAAAAAATAAACCAGGCATGGTGGCTCACACCTGTAATCCCAGCAGCTCAGGAAGCTGAGACAGGAGGTTGGAGGCCAGCCTCAGCAACTTAGTTAGGTCCTATGAAACTTAGTGAGCCCCTGTCTCTAAAAAAAAAAAAAAAGAAAGAAAGAAAAAGAAAAAAAAATTAAAAGAGCTGGGGAGGTGACTCAGGGTCAAGTACCCCTGGGTTCAATCCTTGGTACCAAAATAAACAAATAGATAAAATAAAAGTAAAAAGGGCTGGAAATGTAGCTCAGTGTTAAAGCATCCCTGAGTTCAATCCCTGGTACCAAAACACAGCATCTGCAGACAAGGGTCTGCCCTACTCCAAAACCAAATTAGGAACTTTCCCAGGTGATGAGGAGCGATTCCAGGTGTTAGGGGCAAGCATGTGTGTAGAATGGCCACTAGAACRCCCTACGGTGTTGCCCTATCCACATGGTGATCACCAGGGGTGGAGACCTAGCAGGATAATGAGACATGTGTCACAGGAAGAACAGTGAGGAGGGAGAGCGCAGGCACCACTGAAATGCCACTTCTACACGGGATGACATCAGGCAGTTGGGTCCCAGCCTACCCCACAGATGCCATAAATGCATCCCTTGTTTGAGTCAGTCTGGGGTTTCTGCTTCCCACACGCGCCTCCCTTGTGCTCGAGCATAAGAATAAAGACCTTGTTCCTGAGAGTCGCACAGAGCCTCTGTCTCATTCTTCTGATAGATAGCTTAAGAACCCCGGGGGTCAGGTCCTTAACAAGAGCAGCAGGCCAGCCAGAGGCCAGGGGTGGGAACATGGGGTCCCTGGGGGAGGAACCGGCTGGCTCCTGGGGTGAGAAAAGAGGTCCCAGGAGGCAAAGCTGCTGGAAATGGAAAACTTCTTCATCTGGAGGAGATCAGGCAAGGCCCCTCCCACACTGAAAATTAAAAGGCAAAAGAAGGGTGGCAGGGGCTTGGCCCAGCGCYACTGCATTTACGGAGGCCCTGGGTCGGATCTCCAGCCTGCAAAACAAACAAACAAACAAGAAAGGCTGAAGAAGGGCAAAGACGCACAGAGGACCAGAGGGCTGTGCGGCCAGGGAGCTCCCAGATGAGTGTGGGCGCTCCCAGCTGTAGCTTTAGCTGGGAAACACCTGGCTCCACAGTCGGCCTCCCTCAGAGCACACCGACAAAGCAGAGCAGGGGAGGCTGCTCCTTTTTGGGTGGGGGAAGAGTAGGAATCCACAACRAATGTCCAAGAAATCAGCTGTCTGGTCCAACCCCTTCCTAAAAGGAGCAGGGAGGTCCCCAGTGGCCAGAAGGAAGGCTGCTCTCCAGGAAGATGGGAGGACCCTCTGAAGCCAGAGCCCATCCTGCGTGGAGGGGGCTTGGGGGCAGCACTGCAAGCACCAGCCCCAGACCCCAGGACAGATATTCTTATAGCATCTGCAGCCACCTGTTAAGGCCTTGCCTCTCAGCCCGGTCCTGGGTCCCTGGAGAGCCCCACCACGGAACCTACACTGAGTCGGGCTGCTGCATGCCAGACCCACAACATCCTGGGCGGCAGGGCTCGCCCCACCACCTGGGACTGCCCCCATCACCAAGGCTGTGGGTCCTACCTCCCAAGTCTCTCTCTGTGGCTCTCACCCTCACCACCCTTACACTGGGCATCCCTTATCCTCTGATTGGGGCTGCCTTCCCAGCGGGCTCTCAGCCCTAAGCCTTGCCCCCTCCACTCAACAGTCTTCAGCCTCCGTTTGCCTCTCTGTAAAATGGAATAACCTCTGTGCCATGCCAAGGCAGCTGGCAAAAATGCTCTGAAAGCTGCAAAGGTGGCACAGACGGGAAGGCATTTAGAACAAGCAGTGTGTGTGTGTGGTGGGGGGTGGTCCTGAGACTTAGTGGATCTGGCCAAAGCCCAGGACTAAATAGGAAGTAGGGCTCCTATGAGGAATCTGGGCTTTTACCCAGCAGGAAACTTCAGGAATCAAGAGAGTGTTGTCATCTTCCCCAGTTCCTCCTTCAAGAGCAGCACTCTTGTTCCAGAAAGCTCCGCTGCCTTCACAAAGACCTTGGAGGACAGGAGCTCCTACTTGTTAGGCCCATGACACACGAGGCCAGGGCGAGGTGTTCTGTGTTTAGCTCACCGACTCCAGTGTATCCCCATTTTGTTGATGGAGAACTTGAGGCTCAGAGAAGGGAAGTCATTTGCCCAAACCACACTTGTAGTAGGTGGTGGGTTAAGATGAGGATCTGATTTGACTCTGAAGCCTGGGGAACTATCTCTGGCCAGTTTCAGAATCAGCCAGTGCTATGGACCCAAATCTAGGGAAGGAAGGGCGGGAGGCACCCCTCTGGATATYAGCCATTGCGTGAGACATGAGAAGAGCTGGGGTCCCGGGGAAGCAGGTGATCTCATTGGTTTGGCTCATAGATGATCCTGCAAAGGGATCCACGAAGGGATCAGCCTTGGAATTGAGGAGGGGCTTCCAGAACAGAGGGGCTGCTCTTTTAAGGCAGGTGCTTTAGTCTTGCGTCCTGTAACTCTGGGTCCCTGGAGCCTTTGACAGATAAGCACGTAGACTAAGATGACATTAGGGAAGATACAGGGGGCAGGCCAGGCGGTCAGTGACTGAGGTCTTGGCCCTCCCTTCCCTGGGTCAGAGCAAGGGGTGGGCTCCCTTGGAGGCCCATTATGCGGGGTGGCCAGGCACAAATGAGGGGATCTGGAGAGCTGGGGGCCAGCAGGAATCCACTGGAGAGATCCCTCGAAAGGAGCGGGGCAGGCCCTCTCTGTACCTGGCTTCCAGAACTTCTTGGCGGTCATCCAGTCCCTCTCTTCCTCCTCTGAGACCGTCTTGTCCTCCGAATCCTCCTGGTCCATAGGCTCACCCACCCACTGCAGGCCGTAGTCGTTGAGGAACCGCTGTGGGGCGAAGGGGAGACAAGGGGCAGCCAGCTCAGCCTCCTGCACGGAAAGGCAGCACTGGCCTAAGCCCCAGCCTCAGTCCTGGGCCCCAGAGCTGCCTGGACAAAGGGAATGGGCAGAGGACCCTGCTGCTGGACTGGGTATTGAATGGAAGAAAGGTGACTCAGGTGATAGGGTCACTGGGTGAGAAGTCACTAAGACAGGGATGGCTCAGCCCTAGTTCCTGGGTGATTGCTGTCCCGTGGAGTTCACAGCTCCACAGGGGAAGAGAGATGAGGGGCTAAGGAAGCAGAGGATAGGACCTGCTTTGATCAGAGGCCAGGAGATCCAGCGGGCCAGAGGCTGGGCAGCCAGAGGAGACAGATGAGGACAGGGAAGCTCCCCAGGATAAATAAGAAAACACTTGGGCAGAGGGAAAGGCATGGGCAAACGTCCTGGGGTAGGAAAGAGCTTGATGTAGTCAAAGAACTGGAGGAAGGGCCCCAGAGTTGAAGGAGAGCATGGTTCAAGGTGAGACCGAAGAGGTGGACAAGGGTTAGCATGCAGTAAAGACTTTGGAATTGAACCCCATGAGAAGCCATGGGGGCTATCAGGCAGGAGAGGGGCATGTTAGGAGTTTGATTCAGCCCAGGAGGAGGGACATACCCTGGCTCTGGACACCTCCCTGGCTCTTTAAACTCTGGGTCAGTCCTGGGCAGGGAGATAGGGCAAGGGCCCTGGTTGGGATGCTTGGTGAGGAAGGGCCCAGGGAGGGAGGCTCTGGCCGGGGTGCAGCGGGCTGGCTCCCCTCCCCCAGCCCTGCCTCTCACCTCCATCTCCCCGACCTGCYGCTGCAGCTGCGTGCACATGGTCTGCAGCTCCTCCTGCCGCTGCCCACTTACCTCACCTTCAGAGGAAACCAGGGTGAGGCTCAGCTGCCCAACCTGGAGGCTTCCAGGTGTGCTGGCCCAAGGGTCATCTGGGGATCCCCAAGAACTGACTCTGGGCCCATCCCTTTGGTGTCTCCCTGACCCTGTGGGGCACCCTGGCTGACTCTCAAGGGGCCACCAGTCCCCTGGAGCGTGTCTCTTCCATGCTCTGGATGGCACGCCTCAGGGGACTCAGTGCCATGGAGCCAGGCACTGGGTGAGTCCAGCACTGCCCCAGAGGTATCGTTGCCCTCCCTGGGCCCAGCTGTCCAAACCCCACCAAGGAGTCCACTTGATGGTCTTGGAGCCCCGATGAAGTCACTGCCCACGCTCCCAGGAGTCGTGGTCAGCCCTCCACAAGGGCCTCTCACCCTGGTTCTGCTGCAGGCGCTGCACCAGGTCCTCCAGGGCCAGGATCTTCTGATCCTGCGGAAGCAAGACACGGCGTGAGGCCAGGCCCGGAGGGTCCCAGAGCCAAATAGGAAGAATGAGAATTTTTCGAGGCACAGGGAAGCACAAAGACCATGCCCCTGACAACTTTGGCACCGCCACTGTTCCTGGGCCTCATGTAACAACCCTTGTGGTCCCACGGAGGTGAGGAAGGATGCAGCCAGTGCTGCCCAGGGCCAGTGTCCCACTGCCCCACCCAGCTCAAGGTCTACCAGGCCCTGCTCGGCTGTGGAGGAGACCCCAGCCTCTCTGCTAAGGTCCCAGGGGCCCAGATCGGTTCCAGGCCACACCTGGCCATCAAACCAGGAAACTCAGTGGGGAAGTTGGTCCTAGAGCCCACCCACTCTGGCCAGCCCACCCAGCCCTGGCCCCTCTCCCGGAGGCCTACCTTGGACACCATCTCATCTCTCTGGGCTTTCACCTGCTGCTCCAGTTCTTGCATCCTCCTCGCCATATCTGAGTCATGGTATGGGGGACCTGCCAAGCAGACAAAACCCCTAGAGCCCAGGCCTGGAGGGGACACTGAGGCAGGGAAGTCCAGGGAAAGGATCCAGAGCAGAAATAAAGACACTAACAGCAGCTATCACATGATAGGAACTGCTGGAAACGCTACGCACATCAGCTTCTGTAACTCTGGCAATGTGCCCGTGAGGTAGATGAGCTGTCTCAGGACACTGAGGTGCATTAACTTGTCCAAAGCGTGTTAAGTATGTGGTAGAACGCATGAGCTGCACCACCTTGAAGTCTTGCCAGGCCTCGTGGCGAACATCTACAATCCCAGTAGTTCAAGAGGCTGGGACAGGAGGATGGCAAGTTCAAGGCCAGCCTCAGCAACTTAGTGAGGCCTCACTAAGCAACTTAAAGTATAAATAAATAAATAAAACCCTCTCACAAACAAACAAACAAACAAAAGAGCAAGGGAGATAGCTCAGTAGTAAAGCACCTCTGGGTTAAATCTTCAGAATCCACCCAACCCCCCCCCAAAAGGGTCATCCTCCAACTAATGAAGCCTCAAATTTGAACCTCCAGTTTGCAGGCAATGCAGAGAATAAAAGAGGAGGCCAACGTCACCCAAGTGCATGGCCAGACAAATCCAGAATTGGGGTGTTCTGAAAGGCACGTGTCTGGAACTCCTSAAAAAGTCCATGTCATTGTTTTAAAAGGCAGGGAGACTGTTGTAGAGAAGAATCACAATTAGGTGTGGAGCAGGACTCTGGGATCAATCCATCAGGGGGAAAATCACTCAGAGAGATTGKGGAACCCTGAGGAGGTCTGACTGTAGACGGGATAGATGGTAGATGTTACTAAATAACCCATGTGCTGGGGTGGGATGGTCGGATTGTGAGCATGCATTTCCTTATTGAAGTGTTAGGGATGAAATGACACCTCTGCAATTCATTTCCAAATTGTGCATCTTAAAAATACATTTGTCAGGCTGTGGCTGGGGCTCAGCCGTAGAGCACATGCCTAGCGCCTGCGAGGCCCTGGGTTCGATCCTCAGCACCACATAAAAATAAATAAATAAAACAAAGGTATTGTGTCCAACTACAACTAAAAAATAAATATAAAAAAAGCCATTTGTATTCATATATGTGAGTAGATGGAGAGAGAAAAGGCCAATGTGGCCAATCATCTGCAGCTGTCAAGAAAGACATATGGGTATTTTTTTAAATATTTTTAGTTGTAGATGGATGCAATACTATTTATTTATTTATTTGTTTATTTATTTTTATGTGATGCTTAGAATTGAACCCAGTGCCTTACGCATGCTAGGCAAGTGCTCTACCACTGGGCCACAACCACAGCCCCGACAAAAGGGCATTAATTGCACTATTATTTCAACTTTTCTGTATACTGGAAAATTTTCAAAATAAAAAGTTTGAGAAATGGAAAAAGAGAAAGATGGGAAGAAACTGGTCTCCTTCCTTTCCTGGACACCTTCCGTGCTGTGAGGCAGGTACTAGAGCCATTGCCAACCAAGCAGGATGCCCAGAGGATCTGAGCAGGGGTTGGGGAGGGAGAAACCTGAACTTCCTTTTTTTTTTTTTCCCCTTGTAGTACTGAGGATGGAAYCCAGGGGTGCTTTAAGCTCTGAGCCACATCCCCGGCCCTTTTTTGTATTTTATTTGGAGACAGGGTCTTGGTGAGTTGCTAACTGCCTCACTTTTGCTGAGGCTGGCTTTGAACTTGCAATCCTCCTGCCTCAGCCTCCAGAGTTGCTGGGATCGTAGGCGTGTGCACCGCACCTGGCCTGACCCCAGAACTCTTGACAATGTCTTTGAGTCACTGAATTAGCAGCCCTGGAGATGCCTCCTCAGGGGGCCTCAGCACAGATCTCCCCACTGCCTGTGCAGGTTGACTGAGGGTCCTCTCTGACTTGTAGTCAAAAGCCCCTGAAGTGACCTGTCAGCTTTCAGGAGCTGCCAGCACATGCAATGTGGGTAACTCACTGAGAGAGGGTGGGGAGAGGCCAGGCAGGTGGACAGCACACTGAAAGGCTGGGAGTGAAGAAGTGCTGGCAGGAGGGCAACTGAGGGGCCGGCGACAGGGCATCCACGAGCTGAGGGTGTTCTGAGAATGGGGGACAGCTCAGATGCTGCTCAGCAGAGAAGCAGGGCAGGAAGCGCCTATGTTAGATGTTGGTGGGGACAGCCACTGGCTGGGAATGGATGAGAAGTGCATGGCAGGGGGGAGACAGGGACAGAGGCCCAGAGCTGCTTTAAGAGGAGGGGCTGCTCCTGTTACCAAGGCCACCGCCCAGCTGGGGGCAGGAGACCCCGGCTTTGTGATTCAGGACCAGACCAAGACCAGGCTCTTCACCTCAGTCCCCCTCCTGTCAAATGGAGGGGGTTGGTCAAGACTCCTCAGGCTGTTTATTGATTTGTTTCGTGGTGCTGGGGACCRAACCCAGGGGCCCCACCACAGAGCTACATCCCCGCCCTTTCTTTTCTTTTCTTTTTTTAAATTTTGAGTCAGGGTCTCGCTAGATTGCCAAGACTGGCCTTGAACTTGAAATTCTCCTGCCTCAGCCTTGYGAAGAGCTGGGCTTATAGGCATCTGCCAGGCCCTTTCCTATAGCCAACTTCATCATCGGTGGCCACCACTCTGAGGGCCCCTTGTGACCGGTACTGGCCAGGGGCTCTCTGCTGAGCAGCATTTCCTCAGGACGCTGCACTGGGAGGACACGAAGGCAGAGACAGGCTGCCCGCCTGAGACACCACCCTGACGCAAGTCCTGACCCCAGTCCCGGCCTCCCCGCACCCCACGCAGCTCATCCCCGCCTGCCTGGTCTCCCGTCCCCAGGCCAATAAGCACTCCCTCCTCTGGGCAGCTGCCCTAGTGGTCCCCGTGCCACTGTTTGCACCTCCACCAGCCCTTGCAGATGCTGTGGGCCAGCTAAGAGAGCCACCTRGGGGATGGTGCCCTGCAGGCACAGGGAGCAGGTGGCCAGGGGCTGAGCTCCCCTTAGGCCCTGCATCCTCTGTCACCCTGAACCCTGGGCCTGCTGGCATCACACTTGATAGGGACTCCAGAGGCTCCAGCCACAGCCTGGCCTCCCAGGCTAAGCCAGGGGGGTGTGCGGCCTTGTGACAAAGTAGGTCTAGGCAGGTTTGGATGTACAGGCACAGGGCCATGGTCAGCCGGGGCAGGAGCAGCCACCTCAGACTCAGCAGACAAGTGGAGGAGCCCTGGCTTGCAGGGCCTCGCCCCTCCTCTGGGGCCCCCTCCGGCTGCAGGCCTCTGGTCTCACCTGGCCTACTCACAGAAGCAAATTTGTTGCTGTAGCAGGAAGGGACAGAGATCTCTTCTTCAGAGCCAGGCCCATCGTTCGGCATATCCACCTCATCTTCTGCAGACATGGAGGCTCGGGTCACCGCTCTGGGGCTGAGTCCCAGAGAGACCTCGGACCCTAGGCCCCAGCTGAGGAGAAGCAGCCCACACACTGCCCCCAAGAGTATGAAGGCAGGTCATTTGGGGGCTCGGGCCAGGATCCAATTAAAATGGTCCTCTTCCTGGAGTTCCCAGGCCAGCTCCTGGGAGGCTGGAGTGGCCACAGCGGTGCCACAGAGGGGTATGAGTGGCTGGGATCTGACAGGAGAGGAGCCAGGACAAAGGTCTGAGGTCCAGCTCCAGGGAGAAGAGGCTGGTGGAGGCTGTGGGCGAGGAGGCTGGCCACCCCTCTGGGTCCCTGCATAGTTTCCAGGCACCCACCGCCAAACCTTCAGTGGACTGAGGGGTCAGAAGTTAGTGAAGACATCTCTCTGAGGGGCAGGGCCAGCAGGGAGGCCCAGGCCTGGGGGGGGGAGGGGCTGCTCAGGCCCAGGGGCAGCTCCAGGCGGGTCGGAGGGGAAGGAGACACTAGGACACAGCCCACACTTACCATCGCCATAGATTCTTATCCCTCGCCTTCTGGGAACCCAAGCAGGAAGGAGAAGGGAAAAACAAATTAAGTCCCCGGAAGTCCATTAGGGAAAAGGTTCCAGGCCCCAAGTCCCAGCCAAAGCTAAAAGAGACAGAAGCGGGGCCTCTGCCTCCTGAGAACTTCTACCCCGAAATCCCATCCCTAGTGAAGGTGAGCTGAGGGACATGCTTCGGAACGTGACTCCTTCCAATAAGAAGGACAGGGGAGCCCACAGGTCCTATGGGAGACTAAGATTTCCAAAATCCACGAGCCAGCCCTGGCTCTGCTCTGCTCTGCAGTAATTGCAGGTCCCCAGATCTGTCACTCAACCTCTGGACCACCTCAGCCTATAAGGATTCCATGAGGTGTTCAGAAGAGCAGGGCGAAGCTGATAAAAGGTAGAAGAGACTCCCCCTTTCCCAAGAGCCCAGCCAGGCCTGGGCCAGAGTGGGCAGACCATCAGAGTCTGCAGAATTGGTAAGTGGACAGGAAAGGCCAGGCACTGAGCCACCTCCACAGGGCCTGTACCTTACAAAAAGGTACCATCCAATTAACGGTTAGTCACAAAGGACAGCTCCTCAGAAGAAGGTATAAAGAGAAAGAAAGAGGTCGGAAAAAGGCACGTACCTCTTCTTGGTATTTCTCAGGATAGTAGGAGCCATTCTCCTTTGGCCAGGGAGGGCCAAGGTGGACAAAGGGGCAGGGACACAAAGACCCCACGAGGCCAGCTCCTTACCCAGGATTCACAGGTTCCGACTGCAGGGGCACTTTCCGGGTCTTGCTAAGGGAGGCCAGAGGTGAGCTCATAGTTCAGTCTAGATCCTAGCTGTCAGGGACTCCCTGAGAGGAAAGAGGAAATCAGCCCTTGGGGACCGTGGGGACCTATGGCTTCAGGCCCAGGGGTGGCCCGAAGCTTCTCTTCTCTGTCTACTCTTCCTAAGAGGAAGCACTGTCCTGGAGAAGTGACCCTCACTCCTCCAAAGCCTGGCAGAGGGTTCTGGTGGCCTTTTCCTTTGGGTATCCGGCTCTCTCTGCCCTGCACACAGAGACCTCTGCCTRGAGGTGCTGGGGACAGTGCTGTGAAGCGGGGTGGTGCAGCCCCTTTGTCTGGAGCTTTCCAAACTTAGAGCCTGGGTACAAGAMGACGCAGGAGGCCTGGGGCTTCTGTCCATCCATCAGTGAGCTGGCGGATACAAAGCCCAGGTGTCTCCTCCTCTCCTATTAGAACCCAGGTGCCACCTGTGCAAACATGCCCAACCCACACCCACAAACCATCCCAGAGGCAGAGAGGGCAACCCACGGGCAAGATTCAGCCCAAACCCCGCCTAAGTGATACATAGGTCAAGAACCCAGACTCTGCAGATTCTGCCACCTGTTGTGTAACCGGCACCTCGGTTCCTCTGATGCAAAATACAGACAGTAACAGTACCACCCGGGCAGGTTGCTAAGGGATTCAGAGAAACAAGGCACCCAGCCCAGGGCCAAGCTCAAAGGAAGTAAGTACTTGAAAACTGAGTGTGGCTGTTGTGGGGTTTGTTGTTTGGGGCACCTAGAACTAGACACTCATAACTGTTGGTTTGCCTTCCTTTCCTCTTTCTTCCAGAAAAGAGGTATGCATACCAGGATGCAGAGAGGGGCCACTACCCTATGCAGTACATTAAATGTATTAAGTGGCTAAGATGGCTGGGCCTGGTGGCGCACACCTGCAATCCCAGCTGTTCAGGAGGCTGAGGCAGGAGGATCACAAATTTAAGGCCAGCCTCAGCAACTTAGCAAGACTCTGTCTCAAAATAAAAAGGGCTGGGATGTAGCTTGGTGGTAGAGTGCCCCTGGGTTCTATCCCTAGTACCACAAAGAAAAGAAAAGGCTAATACCTAGACGTCTTAGAGTCAAAGAAAGGCCCTCCATTACTGAGAGTCTGAACCAAGTCTTTTGAGGAGGTTCCTCTTGGGAGATGTGGCACTGGCCCCTGCCTCGCCCCTGAAGCTGCCAACAGCGGGGGGCCAACAGTGGGGGGCCAACAGCTCAAGACGGCCACCTGTGCCTTTGTTCTAGAGGGTAGTGCCCATGCCCTGCCCCTTCTTCAGGAGAATCCTTCCCCCAGGGCCCAGGCCCAGTGTCCTCACCCCCATCCTCCAGCCTCCCCACCCTGCCCCTGCCCTTGTCCTGCCCTGTCTGGTCCGGGCATCCTCGTGGTGTTTGGCCAAGGACGGCAGCCCCTCTTGGTGGCCCTCACCAACCTCCACACACTGCCAGAGGGATCTTAAAACACAAAAGTGGACATGCCACATCCCTGCACAAAGCTCCCACGGGCTCCTTCTCAACCACAGGGGAAAAAAAAAGTCAAAATTCCTTCATACGTGCGATCTGGTGCCTGTCCGTGTCCCCTGACTTCACCCTCCACCTGTCCACGACACCCTCCACCTGACCGCCCTGCACTCTGCCAGCCGAGCCGCAGGCAGTACCTCAAGCCACACAGCTCCCCCTGCCTGGAGCTCCCCCTCTCCCATGTTCGTCCCTTGACCAGGCTGACACCTCTTTTTYCTTCCCTTGTCCTTCAGTTTAGCTTTTTATTTCAAAATTATTATAGATTTATAAGAAATTCAGGACCTGGTACAGAGGGATCCCGGTATTCTTCACTCAATCTCCTTCAATAGCTACATCTTATATAATCATAGTTCAAGATCAGAGGCTTTGTACAGCTGGTGCCCTCTAATCACTTGGGGAGGCGAAGGGTATGAGAAGCGCCTTGTCTTTCTCCAGTCTTCCCCCTGCTGCCTCTTCAGGGCCACAACCTCCCTTCCCAGCCTGAACCCCAAGCAACGGCAGCTCTAATATCCACTTCAAGAAAGTTTCGTAAATAGAATCGCGTAGTATGTAATCTTTTTTAAAAATTGCTTTGTTAAGACTTAAATCACATACCTCACCCTTTAAAAAGTTAACTTTTGATATATTCACGGGGTTGTGCAACTGTCACCACGAATTTAGAACATTTTCATCAGCACAAAAAGACCCTGTAGCCAAGTGGGGTGGTGCACACCTGTAATCCCAGTAACTTGGAGGCTGAGGAGAATCACAAGTTGGAAGTCAGACTCAGCAACTTAATGACATCCTGTCTCAAATTACTAGGTAAAAGGACTGGGGATGTAGTTCAGTGGTGAATCYCGAGTACCAAAACAAACAGAAAACTCTGTACCCTTCAGCAGTCACCCCCAATTTACCCTCCAGTCCAGTCCTCACTGTCTGGACGGCCACTAATTAGTGGCTCTGGACGGTCACTAATCTACTTTCTGTCTCTATAGATTTGACCATTTTGGACATCTCATATAAATGTAATATCTATAAAAAATGATGGAAATTTGTAACTTCAAGAAGCGAAATGTATATGAGTCATATATCAATAAAGCTGTCATGGAGAAAAAAAAAAGGTCCCCTAACCCAATCCAACATTTCCCCACAAAAGCAGCTCCTCCATCTTCCCCTTTGTAATCAGACCCCTTCATCCAAACACAAAATTCTCTCCTTCCTTCCCTCCTAATCCCATCAGTCACCAAATCCTGCAGGTTAAACTCTACAATGTCTCACCACAGTCCCTCCTTCCCGTTCTCACTGTGCTCACTGTGGGCCACCCTCGTAGGGTGCTTGCTCCTCAAAGGGATGTCACAGTGGCCCCGCCCTGACTGTCCTGCTTCCAGCCTCACTCCGGTCCAATTCGACACTCGGTGTCCAGATTAACCTCCTCTTGGATCAGGGGAGACCTCCGAGGGAGGAGACTCTGTCTCCCCATCAGTCTGGGGACTTCTGGGGGTTCCTGGGCACACGGCTGTGTCTCCTTCAACTTCAGAGTGGAGGACCTGAGGACAGAGCCGGGTCTCCTGCCTTCGTTATGGGGACCCCAGGGTAGCCTAAGGCTAGGGGCTGTCCGGGTCTTGGGATCTGCGCCGGTGTCCTCGGCATCCACGTCTCTGGGGCGGGACCTCCCTCGCCACACCTCCTGGGCTGGTGGCCACCACGGCAAAGCGCTGCACCCCAGCGCACGCTTCTACCCCCAACCCCAGCAGGACGCGCTCGCCGCGCCACGTCCACCGCGGCCCGACCCGCCCCGGAGCCGCGGAGCCGCCTGCGCGCCACGCACGGCCATGCCCGGGCGCCCGCCGGGGAAGGCCGCGGGACCCTCGGGACCCTCGGGGCTCGGGCCGCAGCCCGCTGGGGAGCTGCGGGAGCAGAAAGGCCCTGGGCCGGGACTCACCACGCAGGGCCGGTGAGCCGTCCCGGCGCCGCCATCTTGTTGTCACGCGGTTTCCCAGGCGACCGGGGTCTGTGCGCTTCTCATTGGCTAATTCGAAGAGGCTCCCTGAGCGCGGCGCGCGGAGCGGCCAGTAATCCCAACGACTCCGGAGGCTGGGGCAGGAGGGTCGCAAGTTCGAGGCCAACAACGAGACCCTGTCTCAAAATAAAACATTAAGGGGGCTGGGGATGGGCCTTAGCGGTAAGGAGCCCCTGGGTTCAATCCTCTGTACCCCGTACCCCCAAAATAATAGAGAAAGAAGGGCCCCTGAATGACCCGCCCAGAGCGGAGTGGGAGCGGCAGCCGAGTGTGCTCAATGCTGTTGCCCATGGCGTCCAAGACCCTTCGCGGACACTGCGGATCCCAGAATCCCGGGGAGAGGGAGGGCTTGTTCACATCACTCCCGAAAGAGGCACGAAGGCGACATTCTGGAATTAGGTTCATGAAACATCTGGAAGCCTCTAGACCTTAGTGTGTGACCCTGACGGTGCTAATATTGTGCTAAACTGATGTTTTCTTTAATTTTTTTTTTATTGGAGATTGACCCCAGGGGCGCTTTATTACTGAGCTACATCCCCAGCCCTTTTTTTAAATTTTGAGACAGGGCATCACTAAATTGCTCAGAGCCTCACTAAGTTGTTGAGGCTAACCTTGAACTTGCTATCCTCCTGCCTCAGCCTCCTGATTTGCTAGGATTCCCAGCATGCAGCACCGTGCCCAGTGCTATATTGATCTTGGGGAATTACTTATCCCTAAGCATCTGTTTCCCCATCTCATCAGTACAGAACTTGGGACTGTCTAGAGGATTAATTGGAATAATGCAGGTAGTTAATAAATGTTTATTTTTTCCTCCCGGTACTGGGATCGAACCTGGGGTACCGTACCACTGAGCCACATCCCCCATCCTTTTGATTTTATTTGAGGCAGGGTCGCACTAAGTTGCCCAGGCTGACAACTTGCTACTCCTGCTTCAGTCTTACAGACGGGCACCACCATGCCTCACTCTGCTAATTTCTTGACTAGGTGACATCCTGAAGGGAAGGCTCAAATTCTACTTCCTAGCCCAGTGTGGTTGGCACAGCTGCAATCCCAGTTCCCAGAGAGGCTGAGGCAGGAGGATCACAAGTTTGAGGTCAGCCTGGGCAAATTAGTGAGATTCTGTCTCAAAAATAATATAGAGGGCTGGGGTTGTGGTTCAGTGGTAGAGTGATCGCCTAGTATGTGTGAGGCACCGGGGTTCAGATTCTCAGCACCACATATTAATTAATTAAATAAAGGTCTATGGACAACTACACAAATTTTTTAAAAAATAAACAAAAGGGCTGGAGATGTAGCTCAGTGTTTGAGTGCCCTGAGTTCAATCCCCAATACCAAATATATATGTATACATACATATACAGGTTATAAAAGACAATTTCAAACAAAATTGCTATTTTTTCATTTTTGAAGTGTTTAATATACTTGCTTAGTTCTATTTTTTATTTGTAACTGTTGTGTTCATGTTATAGTTTGTGTAAATTTGTACAACAAATAATTTAAATTTTCATACTTGGTTGAATTATTTCCTCTTAATCATGTTTATCTCATGTTCATTCCACATTTCTTCAAACATATACTTTATAATTGGATTTCATTAAATATCAGACAAATGTTTATTCAAAAATAAGTAAATAAAATAAAAAGGGCCGGGTTGAACTTTAGTGGCAGAGTGCTTGCCTAGCATGCGCAAGGCCCTAGGTTCAATCCCCAGTACCACAAGGAAAAAAGAAAAAAAAAAAAAAAACTGGTCTCTTTTTCTTTGTGGAAAGAATTGGGTAAGTACTCCCCTTTTGATAATAATCTCCCTTTCCTGAACCTCATATGTAAAACTAAGATATTAGATTAGCCTCAAGTCACCAGAGCAACTAAAGGCATGAACTTTGCTATCAGYAACTAAAGGCCTGAACTTTGCTATCAGGAGTCCTCACTGTGGCCTTGGACACATTAGTTTCTTCATCTGTAAAATGGGGATACTACCTATCCTACAGGGTTGTGTTAGGACTGAGTGAGATGAGTACCTATCAAAACATCTGTACAGACTACATTTTCAAAAGCATTTCCTGCTGTTCATTGTCTCTTAAGACTTCCAGCTATGATGGTTTGGTTTCTAATCTCAGGCCCACTTAATTTATGCCCAGATTCAACCACCAAAACCTTTCTCTGCACAACTCAGATCGCACCTTTTACTAATTTATTTTCTGTTTTGACTCCCTCCACCGCCCCAGCCCAGCGCAGTGCTGGGGATCAGACCCAGGGCTTCAAGCAAGCTAGACTGGTACTCTACCATTGAGCTAAACTCCCAGCCACCCCACCCCTGTTTGACTTCCTAACCTATGGTATTGGGTGGGGGAGAGATTTCTTGGGGCATTCTTTGTGCACCAATTAGATGATGAAGACAGCTGCCAGTCACTGAGCCACCTCCAGCTACCAGATGCCAACATTACAAGGTTTACAGATGAGAAAACAAAAGCTCCAAAAAGGGAAGACTATACAGGTAGGAACACTGTCTGCCCTTTCTATAGAATCCCACTCTAGTGAAACAGGCGGGCAAAGATAAGCCAAGCTGGCAGTCCAGGACCACTGCCAAGTAAGGGCTGGGGTGGAAACGACACCGGAGGTTGAAGGTAGGAGAATTATTATGGCGCTGCTCCCAGAAAACTTCTGAAGCTTGAGATACATGAGGATGAGGAAGTCCGAGGTCATGCTGCGGCCAAGTGCTCTTTGGAGGGCTGTAAGGGAATCTTGGTCAGGGAGAATAGCAACCTCATACTGTCACCTTGCTCATAAATGTAAGCAAGAACCAGCAGTATGGGAGGCAAGAGCCACAGCAAGACCGGGGAGCAGGAGTTGCATTTACCAGGCATCAAGTTTACCCCACCTCCCTCTGCCCAGGGCCTGCAGCAGTCAGACCTTCAGTGGATATCTTCCTGGGAGGGAGATTGGAGCCTTCCAATTTGCAGCTCAGTTTGGTTTAAAAAAAAAAAAAAATTCATAAGGGGAAGTCAGAGCCTTATTTTAGTAAAGCATATATTTGTATCAGAAAAACTTGGAAAATAAGCTGGATGCTTTGCACATCCCTGTGATCCCAGCAGCTTGGGAGGCTGAGGTAGGAGGATCACAAGTTCAAAGTCAGCCTCAGCAAAAGTGAGTCACTAAGCAACTCCAGGAGACCCTGTCTCTCAATAAAATACAAAATAGGGCTGGGGATCTGGCTCAGTGGTGAGTGCCACTGAGTTCAATAACTGGTACTGCCCCCCCCCAAAAAAAAACTTGGAAAATAATAATTGCCATCGTTAATTGAGGATGTATGTTGTGCGGACTGGCATACTTAACAATTCTCTGAGGCTGGGTTCTGGCGCCTACTCACTGGCTGTTCCTGCTCAACGACTTCACTTTCTATATCTGTAAAAACAGAAATGTGAGTAGGACCTACCTCATAGGATTATTGTGCAAATTAAATTCYCCATATTATTGATGTCAGTCTCCGCCAAGGGGGAGGAGAAATAGGTCCTTGTTCCCTGGTGTTGAAGATTAAACACCCAAAAAACACCAAGGCAAGTGCAGAAAGCACGTTTTATTTAAGCGAAGAAAATACACTTCTCTAAAGAGTAGGGGACCCAGACCTGGGAGCCTGCCGGAGCGGGTGCATCTTGATGTCTTAGCACCTTAACTTTGTAAACTAATCAGGTGTCCCCTAAAACAAACACATTTACAAAGATTAATCCCATTTATGTTAGATTAATGTACTCATCTTTTTTTCATACTGAGGAATGAACCCAGAGGTGCTTAACCACTAAGCCACATCCCCAACCCTTTTTATATTTTATTTAGAAACAAGGTCTCCCTGAGTTGCTTAAGGCCTCGCTAAGGCTGGCTTTGAACTCTCAATCCTCCTGCCTCAGCCTCTGGAGCCACTGGGATTACAAGTATGCGCCACCATACTCAGCCTAATCTACCTATTTTTTAACTATAACAACCAAGATATCGGACAAATGTAGTTAACAGTATTAGCCATCTTTTCCCTGTTGAAGAGGAAATCCTAGAAGCAATGAATATTATTCTCTAGACATTCTATAGAAACCAACACTCTATTGCCTGACCACCTAGAGAAACTTATGGGTTAGTAATTTTAAAGACATCTTTACAGATGTTTTCCCAATTTAAACTTTTTCTTAAAGGATTAAGTCATGGGACTGGGGTTGTGGCTCAGTAGTAAAGTGCTCGCCTAGCATGGGCAAGGCCATGGGTACAATCCTCAACACCACATAAAAATAAATAAAGAGATTGTGTCCAACTACAACTGAAAAACTAAAAAATAAACATTAATAAATAAATAAAGCATTTTTWAAAAAAAAGTACAGAAATTTTTAAAAATACAGGAGTTCTACAAAAATAAATGTCATGGCCATAATTACTTAGTAAAGAAGCACAAGGAACATCTTTAGCAGACCAGAGTGTATTCTTTTCCCGATGTTTAAAGAATGAGGGAGCCCCACGAAGACCTGTACCTCTGAGAACATTTCATTTCCCCTCCCTGCGCTCTAGCTTGCAAGGAGGAACATGTTGAGAGCAGGGTCACAGACTGCAGGAGCCATTTAGATCCCACAGCAGCTTGACTTTAAAAGTGACACTTTTTTTTTCTTTGGTCCCAAATTGGCTTTGGGTTCAAAGCCAACTTGCCGCTGTAGCTTACATTCCAGATGCAAGCCTTGGAGAGGGGGAGAGAGAGAGGAGAGAGAGAGAGAGAGAGAGAGAGAGAGAGAGAGAGAGAGAGAGAGAGAGAGAGAGAGAGATATCTGGCAAAAAGCTAAGAAATAAGGAAAACTACCATTTTGAACTTGAGAGGCAAAATCTCCTCATACATAGAGCACTTTCGACCATTTATTTTCTTCTCCTTTTTGCAAAACTATTCTCTTAAGGTGTGGTGTTAAGCTTACATTTTCTCTGGACACCATTTTCCATTT